CGGGGGGCCCTCGGCGCCGCCCGCGGGTACGGCCGGGTCGCTGCTATGGGCGGGAGGCTTCTCCTTCCCTGCGGAAAGGGATCTAATGCGCGGCATCGCCCGTTAAGGTCACCATGGCTGACAGAGCTGCTGCTGAAAGGGCTTGTAAGGACCCCAACCCCATCATCGATGGCAGGAAAGCCAACGTGAACCTGGCGTACCTGGGTGCCAAGCCGCGGATAATGCAGCCAGGTGAGGAAGCAGCCCCGAATGGCTTTTCTCTACGTACCTCAGGTTTCTGAAGAGAGTAAAACTTCAAAAGAAGGTAGTGCTGCCCTCCACCTCCTTGAAGTACACGCACAGTTGGGCGTGCTTTGGTTTTGATTTTTAAATGCAGCATGTAGTAACTCTCTGGTTAATTTGCACATGTGCCTGATTTAAAAAACAAAAGTGATCAGAGATAAAATATCTGGAGTTCCCCAGGAAGACTTCCACAGCTCAAACACTTCATTGGTTATTCCTGCTGCTGGGAATGTGGTGGCGCTGACCATTTACAGTATCGTTGCAGGGTAAGATCGGCCCAGGAGTGAATCGCTTCCAATGTGTGCGGTCTTATTAATACAAACAATATCTCAATGCAAACTTCTTAAGCAGATGGGAGCTATTATGCAGATTTTAAAATGGAATGGCTCTTCCTAAGACCACATCTGAGACAGTGTGATGTCCTAGCCACTTCCCAGACTGCTGCTTTGCAGGAAGAGTGAGAGGAGCGTGGAGTGTGTGCACATTTGTGCTCTAAAGGAACTCATATACCCTGATGAACACTTGTGCTGGTAATAAAGTGCCCATCAAGGAAAGACAGGGTTTATGCTAGGGTGTTTGGAGAACAGAAATGAAGTTGGGATTTGACCCCCTGTGCCAAGTCCTCATGAGTAGGGATGACTTCAATTTTAAGTCTGTAGAAGTTACACAAATACACTCATGAATGGAAAGTACCATCCAGTCAGATGCTAAAGTTAGGGATCCAAATGGAGCACCAGGTCAAATGTGAACGAAAACCCTGTGCTTGCTTAAAAAGTGTCATTTTCCTAAACATCTGTAGGAAAGTGTGTGCTTTACTGGTTTAAGTTCTCTCTGTGTATGTATGGACTGATACATTTTGCTTGCTTTCAGATGTTGTTGCTGCAGGCTGTTAGTGAAGGCTCTTATTCTGCATTTTGTGTGTGTGTGTGTGTGTGTACAGCATAAATAAGTGGCCAAAAAAACCGCCATACATAGAATGTGATGTGTTTTTGTTGGTAGGTTTTGCCTTTGGTGTCCAGCAGCTTCATCCAGCTCTCATACAGAGGCCTTTCGGGTAAGTCTCAATGGGACCTCAAACAGGGGAGGAAAAAAAAATCTTTTTTTAAAAAAAAAATAAAAGGAAAGAAAAAGTATGTTTGTTGAAGGCCTCTTGCAGTAGCATCCTTAAAGCTGGCCAGCAATGCTGAAGCTCTCAGATTTATAAATGTATACCCATAAATGCGCTCACCTTGTCGGTCATGTTCTAAATGCCGCAGCTGAGTCAAGTTGTGTGGGACGTGGCCCTTCCGACTAAGCAGTCCAGTCCCACATGACCCTATGATAAAACAAGGAGGTATGACTTGATGCAAGATTGCTGTGCCCCATTTCTCTTTTTTTCAGCTTGACTCAATGTTATTTATCTCTTTCTAATCTGACAGGGATCGTTTACAGTTAAGATAACTGATCAGAAGGATATGATGATAAGAGGTGGAATAGTTCTGTTTGGAATTAAACTCTGTAACCAGTAGACTCAAACACAAACAAGCTAAAATGGTGATTAACGATGCATGTATGTTTTTTCATATAGTCAATAGACCTCCGTGTGCTTTTTTTTTTATTTATTACAGTAATGAAGTGGTGTTGATAGCTAAACTGTGTGCTTTTATTTAATTGAAAGAGCTGTAGTGAAAGTTTTTGGGGGGGGTCTTTTTTAATTCTGGTTTTGTTGTTGAGGAGTGACTTTGCCATGGGGAGCAAAGGGCCTTTTTTTCCTTGCTTTCAAGCTGTAGCCTGTGAGTTTTTTAACCATATTTTGTAGTGAGTGCTAAATTGTGTGACTTCTTGATTTTTGAGTAAATCAACATACTGCTTGCATGTTCACAATTTTTTTGGGGTTTGTTCTTGGGAAGGGTGTGGAGCTCTTTATTAACTATGTGCGTCCATTTGGGCTTTCTAATTTGAGGGGATATTTTCTTCAATCTGTCTTTAATATGCAGTGCATTTCTCCTGAATTTGAGTATAAACTATTCCTAAGTGGATCTAACTCTTGCTTTTTATAGGCATATCATTAGGAGGTGAAGTCTGCTTAAAGCTTTCCATAGTGCCACTTCACTAATGCACACTGACTGAGAAACTCATTGCGAAATAATGCATTTTGCTAATTAATGCATAAGCTAACAATAAAGTAGGGAAAATGTGTCACAAATGTATTTTGTTTATTTGATTAGAATAGCTTTAGAATATCGTACTTATCTGTAATTAAGCAGCAATAGCTTCTCAGTAATTTGATTTGTCAGAATGGGGGGAAACAGTTCCTATCCTTAAAACCGCAAGAAAAAGTTTTTCTTACAAACATCATGTAATTTTAAAAGAGCATGTTGATTCTTCTCAGAGTGAGGAGGCTGTAAAAAACTTCCTGTCTTTTTTTCTTTTTTCCCACCTTGTTATGATTATCCTCTACTGTATTTTGCTTGCTTCTTTGAAGTGTGAGATGACAGTGTGTATGCAGGGATCAGTTTTTGATGCCTGCACTAAGGTAGGCAGGAGGTAGAACACCTTGTCTTCAGAGCTGTTAAAACACTTGTTGCAAAGGGAACTACTGAATCGTGCAGGGATCAGCTGTGGAGAGACTGAATATTTGCTGAGCACAACAGAAAAGGAGGACCTGTGGCAGTCCCTTGCTTAAAGAACTGTATAAATGTAGGAGTCTTTCTTGCTTTCCTTATCCAAAGCCAACAATAGATGACATAAACCATGTTTAGGTCGGGAAAATCCTTCCAGCAAGCTCAATAAGGTTGGATTTCTAATGCATTGCACATAAATCTGAAGGAATGTTGCACGCAGAGTCATGTGTATATGAAATTGGTAATTTTTCATCCTTGACTGTTGCATTTCTTTTACTATGTGTAAACAACAGATATTACTAATCCTTCTTCCTCCCCAAAATTTCCAGTGACCTGTACCTTTATCTAAAATATGTAGTTCAGATTAAGGAGAACAGCATTCATTAGGATGAATGAACATATTCATTCACTTTATTGACAGTAACAGGGGATGTTTCAGTGCTTATTTAAATCTCCATTTGTTGAAGAGTTCAGTTTTGCTGTGTGGATTGCACTGAAATACATGGTCATTCTAAAGCCTTTGTTCTTCTGTGCAGTAGCACTTTGGAAGTACACTTCCCTAATACGCTGTGTGGAACAGGCTGTAGTGGTGATTGACTACCAATACTCAGCTAATCCATACACAAAAGCTTCAAATGTTTTGTGGTTGAGTTTAGGGGCTTTTTCCTAACAGTGCAAATTAGTGAGGTACTGCCATATTTTGGCATGGGTCAGCTATGTTTTAGAATCACAGAATCATAGAATGGTCTGGGTTGGAAAGGGCCTTTAAAGATCTTGTTGTTCCTACCCCAGCCATGGACAAGGCCATGTTGCTCAGAGTTCCCTCCAGCCTGGCCTTGAACACTTTTAGAGACGTGGCATCCACAACATAAGGTCTCACATCTATCAAATAATAAACTTAAAATAATTTGATTTTGTTACATGACTTTTACTGAGAAGATGCAGAAGTTCAGTATTCTGACTTAAGTACAACACTGTTGTGGTGGAGGGAAAGAGAAACTAGATTAGCTTCAACATGATACATTTAAAATGCAGGGAATTTTTCTTATTCAGTAGTGTAGAATAACATTTCTTTCAGCTTTTTACATTCAGCATCTCTCTTTCTGTTGGTGTGTTTCATAGAAAGCTGTTTGATCACAGGACTGGTTATTTACACAGCTTTGTTTTCAGGATTGTTTATTAAAATACTGTCTCTGAATTCAACAGGAATTTATGGAGGGGGAAAATGACTTTGCTTCCCAAGATAGATTTTTTTTCTTTTGCTTATGTAATTTTTACTTTAATATTGGTGGGAAAATTAGGGGTTATTCAGAGGTATTGGTGTAGGACGTAACTGGTGTGGAGATCTTTTTCTTTATTTTCTGTCTAAAACCTGTACTTTGATCAAACTGAAAGCATACCCACTGTTTTCAGTAAGACCAGAGTTAAACCCAAAGTTATTAAGCCCATTATCAATTGGTTAGCTGATACGACATGCTTGATATCTTTTAAAAGTTAGGCAAATCTGCCTTTCTTAAGAGAGAAGAAAATGCCCCCTCTTGAGTTTGTGATCAAAAGACCTGTATAATACTAGACTACAGATAGTCTGAAAAGAGGGAATGAAGCTGGAACAGTCAGAAGTTAGCCTGCTGTTATGTCCTCTTAGTGGTTATCAGATAAAAGGAAACATAGGAAGGGTCTTGTATGTTTAATGTTTATGTAACCTATTTCTGTTAAAAAGAGAGCTTTTCATTGGTGAAAATTGACTCTTTAATTATGCTTACAAAAGCAAATGATGCCATGCAAGGGCCGAAGCAAAACATTTTGTTTAAAGTTAAATATCTACTTTTGTGAGAATGTAATGCTGAGAGTTAAAGATGCACTACTCCTCCTGAATTTCTATATGCCACAGCTCTGCATCAGTCTGAAAAGTCTTCTTTCTTTTGAAATTATCATTCACTTTATTGTTGCCTATACGATTATTTTTGAGGTCTTTAGTTAAACATAAATCTTCTGTTATAACAACAAAGAAAGTCTTAAGGCACGTGGCAGGGATGTAGGTCATTGAATTCTGAGTATCTCAAAGCTACAGTTATTGCTAAAGTTAAATATGGCTTCTATTTTCCTTTATTGCAAAAGCATAACAGTAAATACACATTCCAAAATAAAAACTACTGCCAGGAAAGAGAGCTTAAATCCTGTGCATTTCTCACCCTATTACTCTGAAAAGTAAAGCAGCAGCTTTTATTTAAAATTAAGGATACTAGGAATTTCTAGTGTAACTGGGAATTGCTTTTTCAGCTTTTGACCTGGCAGAGCATGAAAAGCAGTTGGGTTCTGAACGGCTGACATCTTCATGTCCTGGCCTCTGCAGTAGGTAGAAATTTACTTTGGCCATATAAAGCCATTTTACTTGACTGAAAACAGTTGTAGCATGACAGATGATCAAAAATAGCCCCACTGCAGCTTATGCTGTCAATCATCATGTGTTAAATGGCATGGTGGAGAGGAGCCTGCACAGGGTTTATGTTTATTGTAGGGTAAGATGTGGCAAACAGATAATGTTTCATAACTTCACCACCTGTTAGCTTTTTGGCTTAAATAAACCAAGTCACAAGAGCTTAAGTAGAAGCACATGTATCTTTCTGTCTTGTTCAAGGATATGGCTGAGTGTCCAAATGTCTTCAGAAAATCTTAGTAACATCGGTTCAAGACAACGCAAGCAGCTTGATAAGCTTGCTTACTGTTTCTTCTGTTAGAATTACTCTCTTCTATAAGTGCTTAATGTAAAGATTCATTTGATGTGGTGTTAAGTAGACTCTTCATGATGCAAAGGAGGCTGTCTGTGACTTCAAATTTGTTTTTATACCTCCTTCCTTAAGTGCTTAAGAAATACGATGTTACGTTTATTAGAACTATACTTGGTTGGTGACCAGTACAAAATGCTTGCTTATGCTCATCCATGTGGAGGGCTCAGGTAATGATGTGTATTTAAATGCACAGAGCCAGCTTAAGTATGCTTCAAATGCACTTCTGGCTAATCACTTCATAAATTAGGTGAGTGTTAAAAACCCAACTTATGGTTTCGTTTTATGTTTTCTTCCCTTCCCAATCCCTCCCTATTTGTCATTCTTTTTTTTTTTTCCTTTTTTTTTTTTTTTCCCTTTTCATTTCTCCTTCCCTCAATAGGAAATGAATTTCACTGACATGTTGGGTTTTTATGATTGTGGTGTTCATGTCTTAAACATGGCAACTGAACATTTCTCTCTGCTAATACTCTTATTCAAGCAACTGAGCTCTTTTTTTCTGAAAAAGGAAACTAAGCTGTTTTAAAGTCTATCACTTATTTTAAACTATGTTTCACTATGATTCTAGTTGACAGTGTCCCTTCTGATTGCAAATGTTTCCTTGTTGACCATTTAAGTACATATTAAAGCTATTTTAAAAATGAAACAAAAAACCCCCAACAAAGCCCTTCCATAAAATCTTGAATCTGGAGAATAGAGGACACTTTTTACCACTACAATTTTCATCTGTGCTTAAAGTGTGTTCAAAGGTTGGTGCAGTCTTTAGAGGTGTCTCTAAAGGTAAAGAAAGTTCAGTATGAAATTGTAGTGAAACTGCACGAAAAGTTTTTCACGCATTTTCACTGGATGGGAAGGAGTTGCATGTATGAAGGACTTCTCTTTGGAAATCCAGATGCGAGACAGGGTTATGAATGTAAAATGAGAATTATACAGAGCACTGTTTTTAAATCATATTATATGATAGAATCCAACCATGAGATTAACATGTATGTACGCTCCTGTGCTAAGACAATGATATGACCAGTTTTTAAAACTAAAGAGCTAAGTAAACAAGCCAAGAAGGCAAATTACGTGACTTGGACAAGATGGGAAAGTGTTCAATTATCTATTCAGAATGCTTATTTCTTAAACTGTAAAATTGTGGTTTTTTTCTGCTTTTGTTAAGCACCAGATCTATTTAGACTTGATCTTATGCCCACCTTCCAAAAAACTCTATGCTGTATGTCTTGCATAGAAATAAAGCTGGCACAAAACAGGACATCAGTGACCTGATAATCAAACAGGTTTGACCCTTGTGTCCTTATGAACTTTTATAAAAGTGTGATGCACATGTACTTAGGAGTCACTGTTATGGATTTTAATAGCATCTATGTAGCTTCCCCTCAATGGCCTCTTGTGACGGAGTGAGCTGCACTATCGTTCGTTTGGAAAGTGTGATTCTTGCTGTGTTTACCACACTTGTGAACTCTATTTAAACTCCTTTGTCGCCTGTGTTGGTTTTTTTCTTATTTTTAATAAGGGTGACTGAGGTTGCAGAGAAATTAATGTGTGCTGAGTCTGCATAGCAACTTAAGTAGGGTTGCCACAATATGCTCTTAACACGCCTCCCTGGGAAGACTTGACATAAAGTCAGGGTTCAACCATTTTGCTGCCTTATTGGCTGTTGTCAAACTCGTTATAGTGATGCTGTCAAACTGCTCAGTTACTAATAATAAAAGCATTGCAGGAAGTAATTTTACTAGGAATCGAGTAGTTGAGAGAGAGAAGAGGGGTAATAAAAATGACTTACAGGTGATTTGAAAAACAAGTACTGCAATTTTCCAGATGGAACAATCAAGCTTAGTCCTTCAGCGTTGTCTAAAACAGACATCAGTAATGCTGGTCCTTCTAAAGATCTGAATGGCACTAAAGGTATCCTCAAGGAACAGATGAACACCCTGATTTAACTCAGCTACAACGCTGTGCTTTGGAGCGATGCATCTCTTCGGGCCAGTGAACTGATAATTAGTCCACTGAGTCAAGTTATTGTGGCAACCCTATGCACATAACAACAACTAAATTGAGTTTGTTTTAGTTCGGAGTATGGATATGACGCTTAGGCTCTGACTCACGTACCAACTCTAACTCCCTCTCCCATCTTTCAACAGGATACCCGCTCACTATGTCTATCCACAGGCTTTCGTGCAGCCCGGAGTGGTAATTCCCCACGTGCAGCCCGCAGCAGCCGCTGCTTCCACCACACCTTACATCGACTACACCGGAGCGGCGTACGCGCAGTACTCGGCGGCGGCGGCGGCCGCCTATGAGCAGTACCCGTACGCCGCCTCTCCGGCCGCTGCCGCCGGCTACGTGGCAGCCGGGGGCTACGGCTACGCCGTGCAGCAGCCCCTCACCGCAGCAGCGCCCGGCACGGCCGCGGCGGCCGCGGCGGCTTTTGGCCAGTACCAGCCCCAACAGCTGCAGACAGACCGCATGCAATAGCAGATGGACTCCCGAAGGAAGCTCGCGCTCTCTCTTCCTCTCCTCAGCCTTCCAGCATAAGTAGTTAACAGACACAACCCGTAGTAACTAAGGAGCTTTAAGGAAAGCGATGCTATTGCGAAACTAAAGATTTTTATTCCGCTGTCTTCATACAGTATGCATCCAAATCGTGTTGTTAGAGGGGAAGGGTAGTGCGGTATGTCTAGTTTCAAGTATCAAGCCAGAAGAAAATGGGGGGAAAAAATACTGTACTGTCATGAAAGAGTGGCAGGAGTAGCAATGGGACTTCATATTCTCAAACAAACAAAGAAGAACCAAAAAAAAAAAAAAAAGCAAAGATGTACTTTCTACAGTATCAGGGAAGCAAAACTGCCTTTTATAAGTAAGAAAATGGTATCTGAAAAGTTTGAACCAGGGAAAAAAACTTGAGTCAGCAATATGTAACGTTTATCCATTTTAAGAGGAAACCAGCTTAAAGCACTGATTGTCCTTTCTAGCTTTCAGAAGTTGTCTTCGTGAGACAGGACCTTGTCACTGTCTCACTGATGGGCACCGAACAACCCAAGGAAGATGGCCGGCTAGTAAGATGGCGGACAGGCACCAAAGTTATTTTCTTCTCTGTCCTCTGGATGAGTGGAACTATGGAGCAAGTGATGTGGAAGTAAGGGGTGCAACAGCTGTAGAGACAATCAATAACACAGACAGTTCTGGACAGAACACATCACTCGTGCTCATGTGATGAGCTTGTCACATCCTAATCCCTCGCCCTATCCCGTTTCACTTTTGGGAAACTTTAACTGCTGGTGTCAGCTATTCTGATTCTAAAATAGGATCAGCCCTTTACTACGACAGCCTTCTCTTTCTATTTATTGCATCTATTAGTAACTTGTGAATAAAGGCAGGAAGAAGCCTAATGAATTAAAACCTTTTCAGAACTGTTTTAAGGGAATCTTCTTTTCTGAAACCATTTGTACAATTTTAATATCTATTTCAGGATTATATTTAAAATATTTATTAGCAAACATACAGTACACAAGGCAACTTTTTGTTACCAAGACTGCAGTTCTTGAAGGGTTAATGGTATGTGATTTATACTGTGCCTTAATTGTTATGCTATTTAAAAAAAAAATATTTATTTTGAAAATTCTACTATGCTGCGCTCTAAAGAAAGCGACTTTAGATGTGACACTGTAAAATTATGTATTCATCTCATGGTATAAATTATTTAGTAGTCTTAGATGTAGCATATTAAATATTAACCTAATTAACTAAGGATGTTGACTTGGATTTATTTAAATTCAGTATGTGCACTGTATGAGGGTACTCTTAAATTAACACTTTCTTAGGTTTTTACATAAAATATTGCTAGTCCGTTCTTTTTCCCTCTACTAGGTATTCATGTAGACCTCTCAGAAACATTAGTGCCGTTTTCTCACTCATCTGTATGTAGACTGACTATTTTTCCCTTTGCTAGAAAATGCTGCTTTACATTGTCCTGTGAAACTACAATACTTGCAATTTTTATTCTTGACCGAAATGGAATTTAATATTTTACACTGTATTGGATTTTTTATACTTGAACAATTTCATACAAGGGAAGACAGGATAGCATTTTTATGGACTTTATCCAATGTCACTGGATTTATTTGAAGTATTCGGAATACTAGCCAGTGTTACAATGTAGACATGACTCTCCTGTGCATATTATTTATTCAGTATGTATATTGCTTTACAACATTTCAGATCTCTTAATCTATTCACTCGTATTAAAACAATAAAAAAATGTTGTCTCATCCTGCCTAGTGTTGTTCTTGCCCAAATTGTCTTTAGTTCTTGTTTAGTTAAAACTAGAGGGACAACCTTTTATACAGTTTTCCTGGTCCGTGGAGTGAATAGCAGCATATACAGTGACTTCAAATACACAGATTGATGTGTATTACACTGAGGGAATTCTGTTGAGGAGATGGAAAACCATTCTGAGGTTTATCATAAAGTAATTCAGAATGGAAGAGCTGCTTGTTACAGCCTTAGTCTCTCACTCTTTGGCAGAAAGCCCAGCCCTATCTTCTCAGTAACCTTCTCGTAGGAACTGGAAAATTGCTGTTCTCTTCCATAGGCTGAACAAATCCCAGTGCCGAACCCTCTCCTCACAATTCTCATGCTTCAACCTCCAGCCATCCTGCTGACCCTTCACTGGAGTCGTTCAAGTCTGCCAGCAGCTGTCATGCACTGGGAGCCTCTAGAGTGGACCCATTCTGCCAGCTGTGGTCTAATGAGTGCTGAGTAAAACAGAATAATCAAGCTCCTTGATCTGCCATCTGTGCTCTTGTTGATACAGTCTGATGCACTTTCACTGCTGCCAGAATTTACCACTGACTCCTGTTCAGCCTGCCCCAAGCCTCCCATGTCCTTTTCAGCAAAGCAGCAAACCAAGGCATGGGTTAGTCCAGCTGAGATAAAGAGCACTTTATTTGACCTGAATGAACTTCATGATGTTCCTGTTGGCCTAGTCCTCTGGCAGGTGTATGTTCCTCTGAATGGCAGGCCTGATTTCTAGCTTATCAAGTACTCAAGTACACCCTCCATTGAGTATAATCAGTCCCCAGACCTGACAGTACTGCATCCCACCTCTTCCTCCAAGTCATTCATAAAAATATCAGACCAGCCAGACCCCAAAGAAACACCACTGTAACCAGTGGAGACAAAGCATAAGCCGTTTTGACCAATGATTCAGTTAGATTTTTGCCTAACTATCCATTTGAAATCAGACACAAGGATTCTATGGGAGACTACATGGAAAGCCTTGTTAAACTCGAGGGAGACAGCTTGTCTGCTTTCCGCTCTTTGACAGATGAAGTCACCTCATCACAAGAGACAATTAAGTTGGTCTGGCATGATTTACCCCTGTAAATCCATGCTGGCTGTTCCAAATCACCACATTCTCCCTCACGTACCTGGAAATTTCTGCTGAGATGGCTTGTTCCATGATTGTTCAGTATTTCCCTAGATTGTCCTGCATGCCCTTTTTCTGAAGATGGGTGCATCATCTGCTTTTCTCCAGTCATAGAAGACCTCCCCAATCTCCATGACCTTTCTGTGATGATAGTAAGCACCCTCAGAATGACAACACCCTTGGGTGCAGCCCATCAGGTTTCATGGGTTTATGTGGACTGAGCTTCCTCAAGAGATTCCTGAATCAATCTCCTTCCACACCTGTCAGGTTTTTTTTTGGTCCTTGAACCCTTCCTACAAGCAAAGTGATGTTAATAAAAACCTAAAGGTCGGGACACCTTTTTTGCATATAATTTTGCATATAATCAAACTGGGAAGCAGTGAAGTAGCTGCTCAAATCCAGTTGATGATGGATTTGTAATCTTTACTACTACTTAACATTTCAGTGTCAGTCCAAGCCACTAATGACCAAAAGGAGTTGCTACTTGATGTCTGAAAGAAGGCTATGTGAAATGCATGGCAGTCTTAGCCAGTTCTTTGAGGAATGGGGGGATGTTCATACAATCTTCATGCTGAAATTCATCGCTGCAGCTGTCATTCTTACTGTGCCTGCAGCAGAAGCACAGACTTGACTGCAGAATTTGATCTGCTCTTTCATCCACAAAAAGGGTCGAAAAAAGAGAGTAGTGAAATTGAAGTGATTGAAAAGATTTTTCCTGGTCTTCGGGTCACATTTCATTTCACCATGGATGATTAATCCAGAACTAGAACACTCACTAACATCCTGGCCTGATGCTGTCATGGTTCTTCACGAGTACTTCAAGCCTGGCTGCTGAGAAGTGTTGCTGAACTGCCTTTTGCAATCTGACCTTAAGATCTGTGACCTTGCAGAGGACACTGTAGTGCTCTTTTTGCTAAGCATGCAAACACCCATCAGGCAGGTGAGTAGAAAACAATAAATGCCATTTTCTACTCTGTTCTTCTATTTCCTTACCTTGGTCTTGCTCCAAGGAGCTTGCCTAGAAGACATGGCATCAAATAAGAATCAAAACCAGAAGTCCCTCTGAGAGAAAGGCGGAGCACACTGATGGCACACTAACCTTCTCTTTGATACAGGATGAAGAAAGCATCCTTTCCCTTCTGATGCATGGCCCTGACAGTGCCCTTGGGCCTTCCCCTGCCTCTGTGTGTAGGTGACAGACGCTCCCAGGGAGGGGTGTGAAGGGGAATGCTTGCTGCCCTGCAGGGGTCTATCTTGTGGTAAGCCACAATGGGAACAGAATAGAAGTTTATGACTCAGCTTATAAAGGTCAATTGCATGCTGGCTCTAACTTGACAGAATAAATAAAGTCAGCAAAAATGTAAATGGGTGAGCTCCACTAGCAAAACTTAGCTTTGGGCACACAACATGAACACTTATGCTTGCTTTTGATAAATGAGTTGTTGAACAGATGTTTGTGTATAAAACACACCTCAGTAGCACCTCACATACATGAAATGACAACAGTTCACATCACCAGGACCAAAATAAAATAACTGAGAAGTAGCATTTTATTTGAGAGATGACATATATGCAAAAAAATTGCTCACAATACAGCTTCCAACTGAGTTTCCAAAACCTTCAAAAGAGATACTGAAAAGTGACCAGTGCTGAGTTTCTTGCAGAAGGAGGGAGAAGTTGAAATGTTGCTAAGGAATGTGTAGATTAAAAAAAGGTGTAATTCCTTGAAAGGTTACATTGATGACCTAGATGCTAGAATTGTAGTTTTTCCTAGTATATTTATTTTCCTATTAACTAGTGAATTTAACTTGGCATTGATAGACTTCATTAATTCTAATTTTTCTTGGGTTTTTCAAACATGTAGAAGGATTATATTAGGATGAAAATAATGATGCAACCACTCAAAGCACCTCTTAGTCTTGTTCATCAGATGCTTACCCATTTTAAACTGAGCAATTCCCTAGCTATATGCAAACCCTTGTGAGAAAAATCATTCCATTTTGAACCTATGTTTCAATTCTAAAGAACCTGCATATATTTTAAAATAACATGGTTATGTGTGAATTTACAAAATGCTTACTATGACTGATGATTTGGCTTTGGGGGCTTGTTTGCAGGTACATCTATCCCTCCAAAATGCAGTGTAAAATTTTGAGAAAAAAATAAGATTGACATAGTTTCAAAGAATAAGGAGAAAACTACAACTGTGACTGCATTCAAACAGATGTGTAGATGTGCACATAGAACAATCACCAGCTTTTCTCAACATAAAATAAATTACCTCTGGAATGTTTCCCAGTTCCATGTGCCAATTTTGCTGAGATAAGCTGTCGCCCTGAAAATTAAGTATTCTGATAATGTTTTCATAGTTTTAGTTACTTTCCCATGAAAGTCCTATAAACATAAGTTGTTCATCACATTCCTTCTAAGAAACGTCTTTTGATGGACGTTTCTCATGACCAGTGTGCTTGGGAAGGTGGTAACTTAATTATCCAATCTCTGGTCATTGTCGAGAATCTATAAATACTGGAGTCAGAGAATAAAAGATCGTCTTTTGTTCTGACATGAAGAGTGTTTGTGTGAATCATTTTGTGTCCTTTAGCGACAATAAGCCATGAATTTGGGTTAGCTTACACTATCATTATTTTTGACCTGAACAGTCTGGGAATAGGGAGGAACCCATCAGAGTCTCTTTCATCACATCTGAAAGTCAAAAGGTGATACCCAAATTAATTGGTGAGAGGTCTCTGACATGTATCAGTATCCTCATGTTAATCTCTGGACAAGACTTCACTGTGCCTCCTGCTTCTTCTCTGTTCTCCACATGTGACTATTGTGGATGATTTGTTCCCCACTCCTTTACAAGGCAAGGGCTCTTGCAGGTGCCAAATCACTTCTTTCTTAAGACTTAAAATGGGTAAAATAATCTTTCACCTCACCATTTACAAAATCTGGAAAAGATTTTACAAAATAGCTCTTTCTATCTGCAGTTTATCTTCTTCTGAATTTGATTACTTCATCTGAACCCAAGGAAAAGATGTCAAAATACCAAAACTGACAGAGCTAGGTCATAAGCAAAGCTTAGCGCATCCATCATCTGTCATTACACTGTTAAAAGAGTTTTTTCGCTGCACTTGTAAGGACACGAACCAATCTTCACAACACAGTTGAAGAACAGAACACCTTTTTATCCAGCAATGCAGATACCCTGTGAAAAACTTGGACTTGATTCATCAACTTGTGTTGCTGTTTTTTGGATTTGTAGTGATGACAAAAATAAGCTAAAGTTTAAAACCCTGTAGTAAACAAAATTGTCTCCCAGAATAATAAAATTGGATAATTTTAAAAACATTTTATATTAAACCCCATTATTTTTTTATATCATAAACTGCTTAAAAGCAAAATACCCCTGCACTTAGAAATAAGAAGAGTAGATTGGTTTTGGTTTTTCCTGACAAGAACCAGTAGAAATGAATGGCTTTCAACAAACACACCACTGCATATTCCAACTGCTTCAAAGGGAAGGCTGATTAACTGCTCAAGGCTGTGGATACTATGATGTTGCCAAAAATTGGGATTCCCTGGCTACTTGTTCACACCGCTGGAATTCATCTCCTAATTTGATCGCTAGTAATATTTCTGAATGAAGACAGAAATAATGGAAGTCTAGAGGAAAACCTTGTTTTCACTGAGGGTAGGTGGACAATTTGGGAATCATAGAATCATTTAGGTTAGGTAAAGAATTTTAAGATCATCGAGTTTAACCACACTGTTTTATGCAGACAAGTAAACACGGGGAAGAACAAGCCAAACGTAACAAAGCTGAAACACAAGCCTTTTT